CCCCAAAACCCCAAAACCCCAAAACCCCGTCTAGTAAATAAAATGCATATATTCTTGTTATGTATAATTAAGAATTTTAAATGTCATATAAAGATAACTTTGAAAGCTATAAGAATAGTTATAGATAAAGCAACTAAAACAATAGCTTTGAAATCTCCGATGAAGACCTAGCCAGAAATTTGAATACGGGATATCATTAATAACTAGGAATGAATGTTTAATCAGAAGTAAAACCCCAACGAAAAGCAGATATTCATGTAGCTCCATTTGATGATGGGTTTGGAAATAGAAGTGCAAAGCGAATGTGATCTTACTTCAAGTAAAAAAAGAGAGAGTACATTGCCCCTTTGCCTAAGAAATAGCAAACTATCAATAAGGCTAAATTATAGTAGTTAGAAGAAAAGAAGTAACAGGAAATGAGAGAATAATAGTATCAGTAAAATTAGTTATTAATCCCAGAGACATTTTAGTACAACATAGATGATAATGTATCACACTATGGTCCAGTCTAAACTCTGCACACCATATCAGAAAATACTCTTGAGCACTCTTAAACAGTCTCAATTTATGGTTAGAATTAGCTAAGTTCTAGGTTATCATAATTATAAAAATCTCCAGGTGTTTCTTCTAACCAACTTCAAACAGGAAAAAACTCTAAACGAAAAAGCGGTAAGAAATCCAGCAGTTCTCTAAGAAAGAGAATTTCATCAAGAAATAAGCAAGACGAATCAAGAGAAGAAACTCTTAGTCTCATCACAAGTGCTGATGAGGAAGATGAAGAGATTGAATTGAGAGTGCAGAGGAAGGAACTTAGAGAATAGGATTTCAGGGACTACTTGGAACTATACAAACCACCTACAACTAGGAAGCATAATCCCTACTTCAAGACATTTTGTGTCATTCAACCAAGATAACCCTCACAGAACTTCGATTTAGAGTAAGTAGTCAAAATATTAATTTTCTATTAGTCAAAGTGATTGTATCAGAGTAAGCAGACATGATAAAACAGTATATTTCTCAGGGTAGCAAAGAGTAAGTTTTTACTTCAACTTTAGATATAATATGACATTACCTTAGAATGGTGCTCCAGGGGAAAATTATCAGTTTTAGTTTGACTAAATTCTTGATCACTAAATTACCAATGAGAGTGAGTATCATCACTCGGTTAAGAATCTTATTAGACCTGCAATTTCAAGTATGTAAGCATTTGAATAAATCTAATTATACAAAGAATTTGTCAGTGGAGTCAGCTAGACAGTTTGTGTCTGTGGACCTCAATTTGGAGGAAAAACTACGTTTCTATTTGGACATCCAGAGCCAAACTAGATACAGCAAAATACATTCAACTACATATTGATTGAGTACTTGTTTGCAGAGCTTAAATAATAATCAGAAAGTTACGACTATGCAGTAAAATTAGGAATAGTTGAAGTTGACTAGAAAATCTAGGAACTTAATGATCTCATTGAGTTTCCTAATTCACCCAATCTTGAAGTAATTCTGAAAACTGGAATAATTCAAAATATCACTGAATAGTATGTGTCCACAATGGAGGATATCGAATAAGTGTATGCTAAAGCGTTTTAAAACCGAAAGAGTAAAGACTAGTAGACTGTAATGATTGCTTAGTTTACTTTGGTTCAAATGATCAATCACTAAGAGAAAGAAGGCTTTCACACTTAAAGAAAATCTTATCTTAGAATATTTGAAGGTACTTAGCTAAACAATACAATTTATGATTAATTTGCTTATCATATTCTCTCTAAGCCATTGAATGGGTACTACGTATCTTTAAGAGACTCTATATTAACTAGGACCTTAATGGATGCATTTGGTGGTAATTAGCAAATGAGTATGATTCTTTGTCTGAATCCCTCGGTCAAATATTAACATGATACACTGCAGAGTTTAAAGCTAACTATAATTGCCTAGGATGAGTACTTTAATAAGGTTAGAATTGTCAAACAAGTGAATTACTAAGGTATTCTAGAGGAAATTAAAATTATCAAGAAAAATTATAAGAGGCTCAAACAGCATCACAAAAATTGTAACAAAAGGGAGGGAGATCGGGATGCGTATTAAAAAAGAGAACATATAGATCACATTAATATTGATTTCTAAGATTCGAGTCATACCAAAGAAATCAATTACAATAGCGAGCTTGAGGAGCAGCTTGAAATGGAACGAAAAGATAGAAAGCGGAATGAGCTTAGATTTAAAAAGCTTATGGAAAAATATTAAGAGTAGGCTTCGGAGCTAAAAGATCTTAAAAAGCAGATTTTAGATTTGAATGGCAAAAACGAAGAGCTCACCTTCGCTAATTTTAGGTTTAATGAAAAGATTCTGGATACAATGGACAAACTTCACATGGCGGAGGAAGAAGTCAAGTAAATGAATATTTAGATGGCTAGCTAAGACATGAAACTAACAGAGGTATTCCAAATACTCTACGGACCATAAGATCAACAATAAACAGACTATATAACTTAAACTACAGTCAAGGAGGAGTAGAGTTTGTCAATCTAGCTAGCAAAGACTTCGATAGCAGAAGATGTCTGAAAGCTGAAATCTGAATTAGAACTTGCTTTAAAGAAGCTAGCAATAAGATAGAACTTGATTAACCGTGTTGCAGCTAATCCTTATGTAAAAGAGGATATACTTGAGATGATCAGAGACATGGATAAGTAGGACTAAGTTGACTCGCTCAAATTAACAGTTGCACTCACCGATAAAAATATAGGTTGGGAACAGCAGTTTGTTTAGGATAAGACAAAATAAAAATAGGGAATTTAATATGGGTAGGTGAGGTATGATTCTATGAAGCCAGAGGATTTGGATCTATCTAGCTCAATACTCTCTGTTGAAGAAAGATTAGAGGAATAGGTAAAAGAGTTGCAGCAATTAGTAGGAAGCTAAGAAATCTAAATTAAACATCTGAAAAACTAATTGGAAGCATATAGAATAGACGAAAACAACAGCACTAGGTCGAATCAAAGTATAAATGACAGAGAATAAAATGGCGTTAATAAATATTCAGCAGGAGGTTCATTCAAGGATCAGAAGCTCATTCACAATCTAGAAAACAGACTAGTCATGCTTGAGCAACGAATACTACAGATTCAATCTTAAAAAGAGATGGTTGAGGCAGAGCTTAGACTGATGACAGTCAAGCAGCAAAAGTAGTAGTAAGAATGGCAAAGAAAGTATCAGGACTAAGATGGATAAATTAGATCTTTAACTCTTAGTCTGCAGAAGTATATAAGTGACAGTAACTTAATGAAGGTAGACTTTTCAACTTTACAGCTAGCTCATAGAGCTTAAGATAAGAAGAATCAAGAACTCATTGAAGCTTTTAATAAGGAGAGAGAAGAATTGGAAAGGCTTAAAAGAGTATTGAGGAAAACTAATGAGAATTTGGCTGAATTGGAGTATATGAACGACTCAACTAAGAACTAGTATAGAGAAGAATCAGTTAGTGGATTTAGGGGCTCCAGTTCAAATTTATTGACTCGCAAAAATTCTATAGCTCTAAGGTTAAGTTAAAGCATAAGAGACGCTGAGAGTTATCAAACTATGGAGCTAGATAAAACAAAAAACTATAGAAGAATTATAAAATTAGCCAATAAGTAGCCTCACTAATATCATAGTGTCGAACAACTTTGAATAATTAATCTTAATTTCATAAATTATGATACTTTAAGGATGACTGGGGTTTTGGGGTTTTGGGGTTTTGGGG